CACTGGAATAGAGTGATGTAAGGAAGAGAAGAAGTGGGGATGTGGGTCCCGGGACCCAGGAAGGATCTGGAGCAAGAGGGAGGCCTACAGCGAGGGTGAAGAGAGAGACATCCATGAGTAAGGACACTGTGCTTTCTCCCTGAGCCCTGACTCACTGTGTGGGAGGGCAGATGCACAGAGGCAGCTGGTGACCCGAGTCCTCCACGGAGAAGTACACTGGTGGAACAGGGCAGTGGGTACAGTGGTCCTCGGTGGCTGGTTTGTTACTCGGGTTCAGATGTCCCCTAAGAGCAGGGCCAGCTGAGCTTGGAGTTCAGGGCACCTGTGGGGCAGCTCCGTGTAGCAGCTCTCAGGTCAGGGTGAGGCTGCCAAGGTCACGGTGGTGGGGCATCAGGAAGCTGAAGCCAGGCGGCAGGAGGCAGTGGAGTGTGCAGGCTGAACAGGCTGGTGCTGGCCTCCCTGCTGGAAACCACCCTGAATGCCAGTGGGGCCAAAGGTGCAGGCTTGCTGGGACTGTCCTTGCCCTGCCACAGCTAGGGCTGGCTTGCCGGGATTCATCAGCACAGCTGACTTTGTCTACCAGGGACAGCAGAGACACGCCTTGAAGTGGACGTTTCCCCCCCCTTTTTTTTTTTCTTTTCTTGTTTTTGTTTTGTTTTGTCTTATTTTTTCTTGATTGTTCTTGTTTTTATACGAATGTGAGCAGTGTTTCTTGTTTTGTTGTTCTGTTGTTTTTTTCTTCCTCTTTCCTTCCTGTCTTTATCAGTGTCCTAAAGTTTATATAATCTTCATTTGTCCTCCAGTTTTGCTCTAATCTCTTCTTCTGTTTCTCTATTTTTACCCCAACCTCCTTTAAATTTTCTCCCATGAGGGAGAAAATTGCCATACTTGGGGCTTATTAACTATATACAAAGTAAATAGAGATTGTTTCTGAATCCAGAGATTGTTTCAGAATCCAGACAGAGTCTGCATTGGTTCAGATTTTATATAACCACATATGTAGTTCATATGGTTAAGGGTGGCAAATTAATACCACAGTTCATTAGTTAGTTTCTAGGCTCTGTGATGCTGTTGTTACTGATGATTGTACTACTTTAGCCACGGTGACATAATTGTCCTAACCAGTTGATCTTCCTGGTATCCCAAGACCGAGATTGCCTGATCATCATAAAACATACTATAGGCCAGTGCTGAAGACCCGGGTCAAAAGCAAGTCGGAAGCAGCTTCTCATCCCCAATAAATTGAAGTGGTGAGGTCTTGAAACAGACCCAAAGGTCAGCTGTTCCTGGAAGACATCTCCGAGATGTGGTCACTTCCTAAGGGTTCTAAATGCTAGGGATAATGCCACTTGCCATAAGCAATTTACAAATGTCAACCCAGGAATTAAACTAAAAAAAATTTTTTAAAAAAACATTACAGTTGTTAAGACTCAGACTATTCAAGAAACAAAAATATAAAATACTATTATGGATAGTAAGACAAAGACTATCACTATGCATCCCACAAATATTAAAATGATAAGAGGGGATATACTAAATCAACTTTATACCAAAACAAGAAAAAAAATAGCAACTTAGATGAAATGGACAAATTTCTTGAAAGACAGTTTGTCCTGCAGAAGACTCAAGAAAAAAGAAAAGATCTGGCTAGTCATGTATCCTTTAAAGAAATTAAATCCATAACCAGAAGCCTCCTACAAAGGTAACTCCAGGCCTTGATAGCTTCACTGATAAAGTCAATCTAATATTTAAGGTAGAAATAATACCAGTTCTACACAAAATGTTTTAAAAAGTAGAATGGGGGATTTGCTTCTTAATTCCCTTGTATAAGAAATACTGTCATTACTCTGAAAACAAAGATATTATTGGGGAAAAATAAATAAAACAGCAAGATAGTACTTTTCATGAAACAAAAAAAGCTTTACCAAAATATTTACAAATTAACTCATCAATATATATGAAAATATAAATTACATTTATTCTAGGACTGCAAGATTAGTACATCACTTAAAAATTGGTCATCGAAATTTATTACAATAATTGAGAGAATCGAGGGAAAACAGTAGTCATTTCAGTAGATACTGAAGAAACATTTGACAGATTTCATTATTTTGTGAGGTTTAAAATAAAAAAATCCACCAACTTGAAAACTTCATAAATTTGATAAGGGAATTTTGTGAAATACATGCTGGCTAGTATTATATTTAAATGGTGAAATGCTGGCTGGGTCAGTTGTCTCTCTTGCTTCTTCTGTTCAGCATTAAGCTGGGGCTGTAGCCATGTAGTAATGTGAGAAAGACCTGAAAGGCACATATAGCAGAAAGAAAGGATAAATCTTTATTAGAGATGGCACTGATCGTGTGTGTATAGAAGACGTCTTAAGAGAGCTACACAAAGCTGCTA